ATGAAACTGACAACAAAGAATCGATTATTTATTTCATAAAATGTTATCAAGTGCTGAATTATTGAATCAAAACTTTATTTTAATAATATAAAAGAAATAAGTTGTGATATCCGATTAAAAAGCGACAAGCGCAAATTATTTTTGCCAACCTCCAATGCAATCCCAATATTGACTGAAGCTTCTAGAACATCATGTTTAGAGTTATCTCCCTTTTACTTTTGTTTTAATCAAATTGATTGTCATTATGAGCAGCCAACAATAGACACTATGACCCATCAATAACAATATAGGAAACTCTGACCCAACAATAAATAAACAATATAGGTAGCTCCCAGCCAACAATAAACAATATGGATAACTCTGACCCAACAATAGTAAACAAGATGGGTAATTCCCACAAACAATGGACAATATGGGTAACTTTGACCCAACAATAGAAAATATGGGTAAACCTGGCCCAACAATAAACAATATGGGTAACTTCGACCCAACAATAAACTATGTAAGTAACTTCAACCAAACAATATAAAATATGAGTAACTCCGACCTAACAATAGTCAATATGGGTAACTCCGACCTAACAATAAACAATATGGGCTACCAGACCCATCGATAAACAATATGGGAACTCTGACCCAACAATGAATAACAGTATGGGTAACTCTGACCCAACAATAGACAATAAGTGTAACTTCGACCCAACAATAAATAAACAATACGGGTAATTCCGACCAAACAATAAACAGTATAGTTAACTCTGACTCAACAATAAACAATACAGGTAACTTCGGCCCAACAATAAACAATACGAGTAACTTCAACCTAACAATAAACTATATAAGTAACTTCGACCCAACAATAACAATGAAGCTTCATAAGACGCAAATTGATTGTCATTATGAGCATTCAACAATAAAACAATATGGGTAAACTGACCCACAGGTACAAATTAAATCTACTTTGTACCAAAACAATATGGTTATACTGACCCACACGTACATATCTACTGTGTACCAAAACAATATGGGTATACCGACCCACAGGTACATATCTACTGTGTACCAAAACAATATGGGTATACCGACCCACAGGTACATATCTACTGTGTACAAAAACAATGAACAATGTGGGTAACTCTGACCAAAAAAGTACATATCTACTGTGTATCAAGCCAATAAACAACATGATTTAATCAAGAAATAATTGTAAATAATGTAATAAACGGGTTATTTGATTAAATACTAGTAGTTTTACAACAAATGGTGCTACATAAATTAAATTTAAATACAATAAAAAATCTATACAAGTAGTTTGGTAAGAACGAACAAAGTATGCTTGGAAATTATCAGAGACATATTGTTGCCAGGAAAGCCACTAATATTTATTAATAGAGGGATTATATTATTAGACAAATATCAAATGTCTATTGGGTTACCATTGTGTTCATTTCATCTGAATGGCAATCTATCAGTGGGGAATGTCAAATGTAGTTAATGGGTTTATGACAAGTGTAACTAGTGCTAATTGTAACGCGGACCGTTACAGATGTTCCCCAAACGCTCCCAACCTATTTTTTGTGCCATATTCCCTGTAAGCTTCATTATATAAGACAAACTCTATGCATTTGAGACTTTAACAACGTTTACCCGGAAGTGTACCAAGTTCATTCAAATTTTAGCATTGCACGCGTGCGCATGTGAATGTATGTGCATTTGGACCATATGATCTTGTCAAATATCTATATATTTTAATATGCTGAATATTAAAGTATTTAATCCAAAAAAATACGCTCATTCAAAGTTTTTTTTTATTTTACTCATTTCACGTGCACGCACGTGCATACATGAGCATGGTGACCATACCTTCTTGTAGAAGTCCATTACATCTATCTATGTTCTAAATCCCACCCCGTTTTGTTGAAAACCAAGGGAGTTATAGCTGTTTAAAGTTTGAGTCAAACAGATTGCAGCGCACGTACATGTACTCGCACGTGTATGCATGTGCATGTGACCATACCTTCTTGTAGAAATCCATTATATCTATCTATGTTCCAAATCCCATTCTGTTTTGTTGAAAACCAAGGGAGTTATAGCTATTTAAAGTTTCAGCCAATCAGATTGCAGCGCACGTGCATACACGTGTTTTTATGATAATTGTTATATATCATGTTGTAGGATATCCTAATGCATTGCTATGTTCAAAATTTCAAAGGATTTTGTCAGACAACAAGAAAGATATTGAGACTTTAGTTTCAGCCAATCAGAGCAAAGCACACGTGCATGCGCGTGAGATCTTGCTATTTTGACCATGTCATCTTGTTTATGCTACAAATATATCCTTATATTATGAGTTTCAAAACATTTCATCAAAAAATAGAAAATTTACGGCAATTTACAATATATTGGTTATTTCACGTGTTGCACGTGCTCGCTCTTGCAAGCATGTGCGCGCAAAATGACATTCGTTTGGCAAATCTACATAACATTCCTACTGACCCTAAAAAGGTTTCACCTAAGACGGATGTGTAGTTTACAAGATCATTCGTGGACAAAATTTTCCCAGGAAGAAGAAAAATAATTATTATAAGAAACAGAGTAAAAACAATATGTTCCTCAACTTCGTTTGGGGAACTTAATTAAGTATAATAAGTACATGCAAAATTTGCATTCGCAATCGCTCTTGGGTGACAACCCTACTCAGACCTAATAATTGGTGATGTCTCCCTTCTAAACAGTCAATAATTGTATATAAGTTAAAATATATGTAGTACATGTACGCTTTTCTTATGACTTTGTCCATTAAAATGTATTTTCTATACTGAGAGCATCGAGAGCAACGAACCCGACGTACAATTTGTACTCTGTAATTAAATTGCTTACAATAAAAGAGAAAACTTACGAATAAGGTATTGTTCAAATACAATTAAAGCTGTAAAGATTTGTGCTTTAATAAATACATTTCATTTCTTTTTTCTAAAAAAAAGTCTTTTGTATCTATTACTCGGCCTATTCACGGAAAGGGGGGGGGGCAAAGCTAATTTTTACACGAGTACTTGGGCTTTCGTTTATGATTATGAACATGGATGTACCTTATTGATATGTAAAAAAGAAACCTTTCTTACATATCGATAACGCACACATATAATTATAAACTAAGACCCAAATACCTGTGAATTTTTACACCCCCCCCCAAAAAAAAATCACTTTATTTGTAAATTGTGTATACATGTATTCGCTGCTTTTATCCTTTATGAAAATGAAATAAGAACATCTAAAGTACAATATCTATAACACTGTATGAGGTTTCACATAAACTTCAATTATATAAATTTTTTTTCAAGTTTTTACAAAAAGTTGGTGGGGATGGTGACGTACATCTACTTCATGCGGAATTTTGAGCAAAGTATTTCTTCCCTCTATAAGCCTGTAGTCTGTCAGTAAAACTTCAATTTACAACTACACTTTTCTGTTGTGAATGGTAACTGTATATAAATTCAATTTCCCGCACTTGCACGGGTGTTTATATCTAGTAAGAATATACCCAAGTCGTCCTTCCTACTGGGATTTTTCCCCGTGTACACATTTTTTGGGGTTCGAGATTCTGAAGTAATCAGCAATATCAAGATCCCTCATAACTTCTATCAGTTTGTCTCTAGCCTTTTTGTTGTTAACATAAGTATAATCATATGTATCAAAATATCAGGGTTCAAAGCAAGCTTTAGATCATCATATGATATAAAACAATCATTATCAAATTCCAAATAGATTTTACGAATTTATTTTTCATTAAAATATAGACAATCAGGATTTTGGACCAAAAACATTAATAAGAGTTACATGTATTCTGTTATCCTCGACTGTAATATCTAGAGCTACTAGATTTCCCTCATATTTTTTTTCTTTATGAATTTTACATTCAAACTTGTTATTAAAAAGGACACTTACACCACGTGAATTGGATCTGATAAACCAAAAAATACATTTATATATATCCCAATTGAGCTTCTATATATGGTTCTAAATCATCAGTAAAATGTGTATCCTGGAAACACAGGATCGATATCACAGAAAGACCATTTTTCTTATAAAAATAAAGGACATCGCTTATGAGGTGTTGCTAGTCCTCGAAAGTTACCGTTGCAATCGTCGCATATGTTTTTTCATCTGTCAACGATTTCAAGCGAAAGATCCGATATAATAAACTTTTTCACACTCAGTCATACTTTCACATCCACCTGTTAATACTCACAAAGAGGCAAATGGTTTTGCATTAAAACAAGCAAAGATTTTTGTATAAAGTATTAAAAAGGATATAGATATCAGAGGATAGTTTAGAATTAAGTACCGGTCAAACAAAAGAAAAATTAGAGAAACCTAAGGTTTGAATGTATATTATAGGATATTTTAAAGCTAGAATATTTTATCGGTGCATTAGGAAATTAATTAGCGAAAATTAATTGAATTTATTTATTCTTCAGTAGAGAATTGTTTACCGTGGTATAAATTTGTAGGAGTAATGAGAAATGAAAAAACAAACGGTTTTTCAAAGTACCTAATTCAGTGTACATGTAGTACTGGAAGTTAATAAACTCAAACATTTAAACCACTTTAGTTAACGCATTCATCATGGTTTTTTACAAAATTTGGAAAGGCTTTCTGCCGAGAGGTCAAACAATTATCCTTAATATCAAAATCACCACATTGCTTCTGTTCTGATCTTGTAATACTCCCAGCATCTTGTGCCTCGCTTCAAACTCCCCATACATGTTTAATGCTGTATTTTGCGCTAAGACAGGACAAGTTGACGCCTTTTCTGCCAGAAGTTCTAATATTCGATTTAACTTCGCCCACCTAGGAGGCAAATTTAAAAAGCGGCATTATTTCCTGCATTGTGTACTTGCTTAGATACCGGTATATCAGGATAATGGTGAATACTAATATGGCACAAAAACTAAGAATTCTAACAAAGAGTGTGAAGAATAAAACCGCTTAGCTTTTTTTCTATGCTAGACCGACGCCTTTTTCCGCCAGAAGTTTTAAAATTTCTACATTTCCTCCTTGTGCAGCATAAAATGCGGCATTCAATCCATCATTAGCTACCTGCTTAAGCATATCTGGATAATGTTGGATGATATATTGGCACATTTCTAATTTAGAATTGTTACAAGCAATATGAAGAATACTACAGCCTTCCTTGTTTTTATGTGTCATGTCGACGCCCTTTTCTGCCAGAAGTTCTAAAATTTCAACATTTCCTCCTTGTGTGGCATATAATACAACATTCCATCCATTGTAATCTTCCTGATTAAGCAACTCTGGATAATGTTGGGTGATATATCGGCACATTTCTAATTTAGAGTTCATACAAGCAATGTGAAGAATATTACTGCCATCCTTATTTTTATATGTCATGTCGACGCCTTTTTCTGCCAGAAATTTTAAAATCTCAACATTTCCTCCTTGTGCGGCATATAATGCGACATTCCATCCATTATCATTTAAATGATTAAGCATGTCTGGATAATGTTGGATGATATATTGGCACATTTCTAATTTAGACTTCATACAAGCAATATGAAGAATACTACAACCGACCTTCTTTTTATATGTCATGTCGACGCCCTTTTCTGCCAGAAGTTTTAAAATTTTAACATTTCCTCCTTGTGCTGCAGATAATGCAACATTCCATCCATTATAATTTTCCTGATTGAACAACTCTGGATAATGCTGGGTGATATATTGGCACATTTCTAATTTAGAGTTCATACAAGCAATGGAAAGAGTATTACTGCCATCCTTATTTTTATATGTCATGTCGACGCCTTTTTCTGCCAGAAATTTTAAAATCTCAACATTTCCTCCTTGTGCGGCATATAATGCGGCATTCCATCCATCAACATCTACCTGATTAAGCATGTCTGGATAATGTTGGACGATATATTGGCACATTTTTAATTTAGAGTTCATACAAGCAATGTGAAGAATATTTCCGCCATCTTTATTTTTATAAATCATATCAACGCCTTTTTCCGCCAGAAGTTTTAAAATCTCAACATTTCCTCCTTGTGCGGCATATAATGCGACATTCCATCCATTATCATTTAAATGATTAAGCATGTCTGGATAATGTTGGATGATATGTTGGCTCATTTCTAATTTAGACTTCATACAAGCAATGTGAAGAATACTACAGCCTTCCTTGTTTTTATGTGTCATGTCGACGCCCTTTTCTGCCAGAAGTTCTACAATTTCAACAGTTCCTCCTTGTGCGGCATATAATGCAACATTCCATCCATTATGATCTTCCTGATTAAGCAACTCTGGATAATGCTGGGTGATATATCGGCACATTTCTAATTTAGAGTTCATACAAGCAATGTGAAGAATATTGCTGCCATTCTTATATTTAAAAATCATATTGACGCGTTTTTGTGCCAGAAGTTCTAGAATTTCAACTTTTCCTCCATGTGCGGCATATAATGCGACATTCCATCCATCAACATCTACCTGATCAAGCATATATGGATAATGTTGGATGATATATTGGCACATTTCTAATTTAGAATTACCACAAGCAATATGAAGAATATTACTGCCATTATCATTTTTATATGTCATATCGACGCCTTTTTGTGCCAGAAGTTCTAGAATTTCAACTTTTCCTCCATGTGCGGCATATAATGCGACATTCCATCCATCAACATCTACCTGATTAAGCATATATGGATAATGTTGGATGATATATTGGCACATTTCTAATTTAGAATTACCACAAGCAATATGAAGAATGTTACTGCCATTCTTATTTTTATATGTCATATCGACGCCTTTTTGTGCCAGTAGTTCTAGAATTTCAACTTTTCCTCCTCGTGCGGCATATAATGCGACATTCCATCCATTATCATCTACCTGACTATGCATGTCTGGATAGTGATTGAGCAGATATCGGCACAAATCTGTTTTTCCGTTCTCACAGGCAGAATAAAGAGCAGGTGCTTTTGTATTTCTTTTATCTTTGAAATCCATTATTTTGACGTTTGGTTTTTCTGAAATGTAACCTCTTTCATGTAACGGCACATATGGTTCGTTATTCGTTTCTCTTTCATTTTCTGCTGAATTTCCTAGGAGTTTTACATTTTCGTTTTCAGTTCTTTTATATTCTTTTGCTGGATGGGAGTTGGTGTCTTTTTGCTTTTTCTTTCTGTATTCTAAAACAAAAATTTCATTAAAACATGCGTACCGTATGAGGAGAATATTCAACAAGTCACAATTCAGCGATTTATCCCAAAAATGGGTATATATATTTACTATAGACTATTTAAAGGTTTTATAATAAGTTCAGAAAAATATGTATAACAACCAATATGGTATAGTGTTTTAGATTATTGAATTTCAGCACTCTCTAAACCTTCGCCATATACAACAATTTATTCTTCACTAAACATTCTGCTTTTTAAGGTCTTCTGTTTCCAACGGAAGACCTTCTACTGATTCTGTTGGTAAAGATTATTAAGGTCTTCCGTTTCCAACGGAAGACCTTATTGTTTTCGTTCGGTTTCTTTTTCCCTATTATTATTAATTTTTTTTTCTTACCGATTTTTGTGCACGCAAGTTCTCGGAAACGGCTCGGTCGATTTTCACGAAACTTTCAGATCTGATAGATATTGGTCTGAACCTTATTGGAAATTTTTTATAAGTACGTCGTCACTTCCGGTCGTGAGATATGGACGATTTACTGATTTTAAGAGGGTCAGCTTGTCCGGGCAATCACTAAAAAACGAATGAAGATATTGACTTGAGATTTTCAGTGAAGATAGAGGAAGGATTGCTAAATTGCTTTTTTGAGTCTATATCTTTCCAGCGCAAAAGGCGTTGAAGCTCGCTTGAGCTCGTTATAATTATTATTTTTCTGACCATCAAATTTTGTGCACGTGATTTCTCGAAGACTACTAGATGGATTTTTATGAAATTTGCTGGAACAATGTGTTGCTATCTGCAGTTATTATATCCTGGAGATTTTTTGGAAATTTCTCTCTGGTGCCAAGTTACGGACAATTTTCTGATTTTAAATTGACATCTTGTTCGCGGATAATCTAAAGAACGGTAAAAGATATCACTGTGAAACTTTCAGGGATTGTAGATCGTGATAAGTACTATCCAAGACGCGATCTTTTGTACGTCGTCTCTACTTCCTGTCGTAACGGCATGCAAAGAAAAAAAGTCAAATTTTTTAACTTTTTTGTTTTTCAATATTTTCAAATCATATTTGTATGGTTGTTAGAAACAATTCTCATTAGGCTGAATATATAATTTGTTTGTAAATTGATGAATTCGAACCCGAGATATTAACATTCAAAAGTCTGAAGCGGGATCTTAATGGCGGCGGTCTCTGTCAATTCCGACATTTCGCAATAGGGGTTTACAGAGGCAACCGAGCGTTTGCTTGAACGAAAGTAACATAAGGAGCAATGAAATGTGTAGGGATCCTTGGATTGTCACGTCGTAGGTTCGTTGCAATTCGGTCTCAAACCACATTTATTATCCAAGGTCTACTTACAAGTCTTCTTTAATTGGTTTTGGTTGTTTCTCAAAGTAGAAATAGAAAAGAATTAATGTGCAAATGAAGTACAATATCTCTATCTTTTGTTTTGCATCACGGTAACACATAGCTTAAATCATAGTTATAATAAATAGTTTTTCAAGAATGTAGTAAGTAAAAAACGTGACTACTGTTTTCTAATGCACACTTGTGTCATATTAAATCAATAGAAAGGACAACTGTTACAATAAGAAAATATTTTATTTTTAAAGATAACAATTTTTCAAAGACCGTTTAATTGACCTATATAAACATTTTATTTTCTCAATGCAAATTATTGAACATAATGGAATCTTATTTCTTGACCCTCGTAAGGGGATCGAGGCATTTTTTCGGTGAAAATTACCACCTTTTTCATGAAAGTGTAAGTAATCGGAATAGTCAACTTTCGTGATTGAAAATTGAAAAATTAACCATTCATAGCTGTTTCACTGCTTTAGTGTTATTTGCCTATATACGATTGATTGATTGATTGTATACTGTTTAACGTCCCTCTCCAGAATATTTCACTGATATGGAGACGGCACCATTGCCGGTGAAGGGCTGCAAATTTAGGCCTATGCTCGGCACTCAGGGCCATTGAGCAGGGAGGGATCTTTATCCTGCCACACCTGCTGTGATACGGGGCCTCGGTCTATACCGTCTCATCCGAAGGACCATGAACATTCCAAGAGAAATTCGCTAAGATTTACTCGTTGCGTTTGGCGCGAAATTATGAATAGTGACCCTTCTTTCATAATTCCAAGACAAATTAACTGTTGCAGAATTATATGTACATACAAGTGAAGTAAGAGTAGTTGTTCAAATAGCGTAATCCATAAGCGTATTGGATTTTCACGCTAGTGACCCGTTTCAATTACCAGTGTGTCCAAAATATGTTTAATCCATTTTCAGCTCGATTTTATGGGTTATTTTTCGGAATCGGACGGAAGACCTACTCGTTGCTTGCAACGAGATCGTTTCTAGTTATTCTTTTTTTTCTTCTGCTTCGCAGACCACAACTTTGTGGCCTCATATCTCACTCATTTCTCAACGGATTTCGCTCAAATTTTCAGAGGTTATAGACGTTTATAAACTCTATCAGAATGCTGACTAAAATTTCAAAAAGTCACTTCCGGTTTTGAGTTATTTCCCTTTAAACGAAAATTTATAGGCTTTCGTTTCCAGACAAAGGCTCAGAGATGGCTAAAGCTGGAGCAGAAATTCTGCTGATTTTAGATAATAGAAGGATTGAAGTTTTGCACATCGGTTTTTGTTTTTCGATTTCTCTATTCAAAATGGCGCTAAATAGGGGTCAAAAATTAGAACGCTTAAAAGAATAAAAAATTACTCATATTTTGCTTTTTATCTTCTAAACTAAAAATATTTTGTTAAAATATATAGCACATAATTTGTGCAGAATTAGAAGATCTTTCAAATGATATGTCGGAAAAAAGGGCTGATCTAGAGGGGCCAAAAGTTTTTGCAGATATCTCAAAAAGTATTGAGAATTTGTTATACATCAAAGAAGCGAAGTTGTTGAAAGTGTCAAGCTTAATCTAATGGAGTCGTCAAAATACGTCCAGCGTCGTAACTTCCGGCCAAACCGGAAGTAGTCGGAAAACGCGTATTTTTGCCGTTTTTGACAAGTTTTTGGGTAACATATGTCTGGGAGCTTAAAAATTAATTTTCCGTGCGTCGTCGTCACTTCCGGTCAAACCGGAAGTAGCAAAAAATGGCTTATTTTTGCATTAATTAACATAGCTGTAGAGGATTAAAAGCATATTTTGGCGTTATTTCTCATTTTTGTTAAAAATGAAAGCTACTTCCGGACAAACAGGACGGAAGACCTACTCGTTGCTTTGCAACGAGCTTTGCTCTAGTTTGTATATATAAGTGTTTTAGCTCACCTGAGCCGAAAGCTCAAGTGTGCTTTTCTGATCGAAATTTGTTCGTTGTCTGTCGCCGTCGTTGGCGTTGTCATTGTGCTTAATTTTACACAATTCATCTTTTTCTCCAGAATTATCGGGCCAATTTCAACTAAACTTAACAAATAGTATTCTTGGCTTAAAAAGACTCAGAATTGTTAAAATGAAGGGTCATGCTTTCCTTCAAAGGGAGAAAATTACAAAATTGTGAAAAATTAAGGCATCATTGGAAAATCGTCTTCTCAAGAACCAGTGGGCCAGAAAAGATGAAACTCATATGGTCGAATCATTGTTAGATTTGTTCAAATCATGACTTCCAAAGCTAAGGTGGAACCATAATGGATAATTAAACTTTTACATGGGAATATACAGAAAAATTATTTTTCTTAAGAACAACAGAGCCAAGGTTGGTCATATTCATATGAAAATATCCTCAGATGGTGTAGATTCAAGTTTGTTCAAATCATGCCCCCCACCCTGAAGTCACTTTTAAATTATTTATTGAAATAAGCGGTATGTGAAATCGTGTATCGTATACATGTAACACTACGTATCTCCATTTGGATAAAAAGGAAATAATTCAGATTCCTTTCGTTCAATGTCATTTGTTGAACTTCCGGATGTATTTGATAACAGATTGTAAAAAAACATCCTTGCACGTTCGTAAGCCAAACATCTTCATTCAAATTAGTAGAAATGAAACATCTGTGAAATGTGTGCGTTAAAAAAGAGAATGAATAAAACCAGGAAAATGCAAAATAGAAATGCGAGAGAGCAAAAGTAACGCAATAAGGTTTCTGTTCTTGTTCACTGATGTGTGGAGTCCAAATATACGTGTTTTAAAAAAATATATATAATGCTTTTTAACAGATCCTTTGCAAAAACGGGAGTTTGTTTCAACGTCATTTACTATTAAAATGAAGGCTCGTTCGTCTTACATAGATTTTTTTCAGGGAATAGAGGAATAGAGCAATAAAAATATGAATAAATCGCCATTTAGTGACCATATGTAAAATCATCGATCCGAAACATGATTTATAGCCTAACACAAGAAATGCCAGTGTGACTGTAAACCAATTCACGTCATGTTATATGAATATGTTTAAAATTCTATGAGTCAAAATCAGCAAGCATCGAGCATTCAGTTAGAATATGGAAAATGGCATAAAAATAAATTATTAGATTAGAAATGCATATCGAAAAATTCAGAACAAAGGGTATGATAAAAAAGCAAGCAAAAATATTTTTTCGCATTGTTATATATTTGTGATGTGCTGATATAGATTTAGCTAGACAAAATTGCTAATGCGCCACTTGTTAATTCTTATTCGTGGATTGAACATTGGTCGGATCGGTACTAGTGTATATAATAGGCCATTATTTCCAAAACAGTGGGATTGACAAATGTCTTGGTATCATGAAAAGACCCTTGAATGACCTTGTCCGAAAACCAATTATTTGTTGTGATCTGGGCACCATTTTTGTCCAGATATAAAATTCTTGATCACTAAAGGTGGTTTGTGAGGTTGCCATAGTCCCCGAGTTATAAATCAAATAACAAACAGTTATTGACTATCATATCGCCTAGTAATCATCCGGTGCCTTAGTGTCCATACCCAATTGCATCATCTCGGGTCTTTCCGTAAGAGGTCGGAAAACAACCTCGAATGTATTAACATCACCGGATGTTAAAAATCTATACAATTTCTGTTTATTCAGATATAGGATAGAGGGAGTTAGAAGTCCTTCTATAATATATTTTAGGTAATATAATTACATTGAACTCCATATTCCACAGATAAAAGGTCTTCAGGCATTTATTTCAAACATCGTGAAAATAGGGGGTTGTCATGGCGTGTAACTAATACATTCGAGGTCTTTTTTTCTGCAGGTCGGAAAGGTCCGAGAAGTTGCGATTGTGTTCATACCTAATCCACTCAACTTCCGGTTGGCCCAGGTTAGTGGAACAATTTTCAACTTATTGTATCCTGCTAACTTAATTCCGTGTGGCTATCTATAGTAAACATTTTTTATTTATTTGTTAATCTATTTGCAACACTTTTTCATGTTTGGAATTCATCAGCTTTTTATTGTTTTTATTTTTACAGGTTTCTCTAAAGGACCCCCCCCCCCCTCAGACGTCATTCTAACTTCTTTAGATCGCTCTTTTAGAGTCAAACGCCGCTTACGGTATAATTTTTTTTTTGAGTTTTTAATTAGTACAATTAAATGGAAAGGACACAAATACAAAGAAGAAATGGAATAGATACGATTTTTATTTTTATTTTTTTTTTTTGTAAATTGGTCAAACTTCAGTAAACATTGCAGTTATTTATAAGGATTGACATTAATGTACCTTATTTATTATTCAAGTAACATATTTTTATATCAAATACATCATAAACATGTTTTTAGAAGTAAAATATAAATTCTCTTAGGTGTTGCATTAGCAATTTTGTCTAGTGTATGTAGTGCAGACTTAAACTATAGTATTTAAGGTATTCAATGTGTAATAAAAGGATTTTTAAATAATTTTAAACTAGTTAAAAACGCTTTGCTAGATAACGATAAAAGTAAAATAAACCAAATTTTACAAGACTGATAACAAGTAAAGAGGTGGTCATTTTATACATTAAAGATTTTTAAATAGTTATCTGAACCTGATATAAAAAAATCAAAATTTTGATTTCTCAAAATTTGTGCGGCAAATGATTTATTTTATTTTATATTTTATTAACGAGGGAGCTTACGTATATTTTTACATTGATATTTGTTTGAAATTCAAATTACTTTTTACATTATCTTATCAAAACATGCGCTGCCCATAGACTTCAATGTAAAATTCAAGGTACAATCAAATGGACAGTAATCAAAATGTTGTAAATTCCTTTGGTAGGGCATTTTGATTTAAAAAAAAAATGCTACCATGATTAAAAATATCGGAGAAGATTTCAAAAAAGTATTCAAATCAATTTTTAGAAGGGCATCAGCAATATACACAAATAACATTAATATAACGTATTAACGTCCCCGAAACGTTATCTCAACGCGTAGTGCATAAGGAAAAATGCATATATATTTCAGCCATATTCAACAAGGTATATCATGATAAACCTTTTTTATAGACCTTCATAACAAGGGCCGACAGGTGAAAACGAGCACGTTCCCGCACCTGTCGGAGATATTGAGGAAATGTGCATAAAGGAAAAAGTGCTTTCTTCCTGATTTCATATAAAATATGATACCTTAAATCAATTAAGTGCAAATTTCATTTTTAAACTTGACTGTTGTAGTAGTTTGATATGTGACTGAGGAATCTTTATATGTATATAAACTTACTTCCTCTTTTCTTCATATAGATGAAAGATATAAGTACTGAGATAAGGAGACAAAATATCACACCAAATACAACGGACAGGGCTATAGTTACTCCATTCCCTGCAGCTGGGGATGTACTAGCTGGAGTCACTGCTAAGGTAAGTGACTTGCTGCAAATATAAATTATATGAAAATAAAAGTTAATACGATAAACAGTAATGATAATCAGAAGTCAATTCAACAAGCTGAGAGCACGGTAAACGTAAACCCCTGAAAATATCAATGGTGAGATCAGGTGCAATGGAGAAATAAACATCTAGTTTTATCCGATTACAACCACAGTATGTCCTTTTAATTGATCAAGTAAACAAATTACCTTGAAGTTATTTTTTCTCGTTGTTTCCCTTTTGCAAGATTTTTATCATTCGATCTATTCAATTCAGCTTTCTTTAATTTTTTCAATATTTGAATGGATGTTAATGTAGAGACAAATAGACTAATAAATTTATCTATGAAAAGTATCAATTTAATTACAATGACAAAGTATATCTCCTCTCATCACCAATATTGATATATTCATGCATATATACAATGCCAAAAAGAAATGAGTCCAGTTCAAATCTAGTAAAGAATCTAAAAGTTGTTAATTTTCTTTTGTATTTACACCGCAGAATTGAACAATATTTATGATTTTTATTTAACAATAAGAAGGCATCAGGAATTACAGAAAGAAGATATTTCATGACATTTCCTTTTAAGGTAAGTCTGAAACTTTTTTCAGGCAAACGGTGTTTGTGTTGCATTTTAATGTCTGCCCTGAAATCATAACGTAAAATGAAAAAAAAAAATCTCTAATTATATGGGATATGATCACAATGAAGACGAGCAGTTGAACCTTTACATAACCAAAGTCAGGGACAGTGCTGATATTCTTATCAACATCACCACTGCGTACAATGTGAATATAATTATAAAGTTACATTGTTTCAGTGAACATGCATATGGTAATGCACAATATTATCTTTGTAGACATGTATTAACCATGACGTTATTAAAGGGCCTCATGGAATATGTCTGCAAACAGGCATTCTTCACTATTGTAACCCCAAACTTAACATTTTATAATTATGAATTTAATAGTCAAGGTATTTGAAGATATTTAGAGAATAAAAAAAATAGAAAAAGATTGCATTGAAAACCCTTTTTTAATACATCATGATAAACACTTTCAATTAATGGAATTGAAAAAAGCGGTTTTAACATTATTACGGTGGCTCTATAGAAATGATTCATTAAAAAACTTCTTATTTACCTGCAATTTGAATCTGCAATGTAACATCCTCTTTTTGGATTTATATCTAAACACGCTTGATCTGGAAATAGAACAGTTACACAAAATATAAATTGTATTTGTCCGATTTAAAATCGTGTCATATTTTAAGTCTCTATTTGGAATGGTACATCCTATATATTAGAACAAGTGGATGACGGGTTGATCATTTGTTCTTTACTGTTTCCAAAGTCATGTATATATATCATGGTTTCGTCCCCCGCGTGGCACAGTGGTTAGAGTGTTCTGTTCCAGAGTCGCGAAGTAAGAAGTTGATCCTTACGTCGCGGGCTCGAATCCCACTGTGGGAATTGGAGACCGGTCCTTCGGATGGAACCGTATAAACCGGGGTCCTGCGTCGTAGTAGGTGCTGGCACGATAAAGATCACTACCTGCTTAATGGCCCTGAGTACCGAGTATAGGACAAAATTTGCAGCTTTCCATCGGCAAGTGCACGTGGTGGCGTCTCCATATGAGTGAAAATTCTCGAAAGGGACGTTAAACAATATACAATCAAATAATCATGGTTTCTTGCACTTACAAATCCAAACAAAAATGTTTTGATAGACTGACATAAATTACTCCTCTTATCACTATTCATACTGGCTGTTTAATTAATTCAAATCAGTGTTGATTCCTTCGGAGTAAAGTTAATTAAAATGAAGGAGTACAGGTAGTCACCCTCACACGAGGCAAACAATTCCTTAATACCATAAATTTTTTTTATTGAAATTGCAATATTTTGAGCTAAAACATTGAGCTATGATGATTTTTTATGTCCGACCCTTCAAGTCATAGACCTCCTAAAATACATAAATTAATAAACTATAGTTTTTTTTAAAGATACTTAATTTACCACTAACCCTTACTTTGTGCATCTTTTTTGTTTGAGACTGACACCTTTTTTTTATGTCAACAAAATTCCATTCGGTACAGTATGATGCAATATATATTGCAAAATGGCGACCTGTTTACATGCGTGTTCCGACTTTCATATTTATAGGGGAAATAAAGTTGTTAATAAATAGAGATTGGAATTTTGGTAGTTATTTTTAACATTTTTAATCATGTGACATTTCATGTGTCACGTGATTTTATTGTCGTCTGCTACAAAAACAAATCTGAAGAGACGGAAACAAAATGGGGCGAAAAGGGAAGGAGTTAAGCAACAAGGTAAAAGAAATCGCTTGGAAATTATTACAAGAAGGAAAAACTATCAGTTACGTGTCAGAAGCATTAGATATGTCGGACTACAATCGCAAGTTTTAAGAAGCGTGTAGAACGTCGAGGTTTCATAGAAAACATCCGGAGACCAGCCATGCAAGAAACCTATCGTGACAGCCCGAGACTATCGGAAGCTAGAAAGGCTTGTAAAAACCCACAGAAGAGAGAGTTTACTGGATATAACGGACAAATTTAATAAAAATTAAGAACGGCCAATATCTAAACGAACTGTAAATTACATCTGCATAAACATGGATTTGTGAGACGGGTTGCAAAGCAAAAACTGGTAATTCGAGAGGTAAATAGGAGAAAGCGTTTATCTTGGTGTCGTGAAAAGAGAAAAGTCACTGTTGACAACTTTTTGAGAAAATTTATATTCTCAGATGAATTCCAGATTTTTGTGGGACAAGACTCTTGTGTGTATATTTGGAGGAAACGGGGAGAATGTTGGAGGCCAGATTTGGTAGAGGGGCGCAAAACAAAACCATGTTACCAAGTAATGATCTGGGGATGTATCAACTGGCATGGAGTCGGCACTATTTCTGAAGTGGATGGAAATATAAATGCTGATAAATTTCAGACAATCTTAGACGACAATTTGTGGCAAGTTTTAGCCCGCCATTTTCCGACTGGAAATTATATTTTCCAAGACGACAATGCTCCTGTACACCGTGCACGTTCGACTCAGGATTATTTGCATAGGAACGGGATTACAACGATGAGCTGGCCAGCCTAGAGCCAAGATTTAAATATAATTGAAAATATTTGGCTCCTTATTAAAAGAAAGCTTCAAGGAAGGATAGGGCGAATTGAGAACAAAGACGATCTCTTCCGTGAAATCCAGCGCATCTGGACCACCGACATTACACCAGAGTATGTCAAAAGCCTGTACAGGACCATTCCGAGACTGTTACCAAATTTAATACGGTTATATTAAAGGGTTCGCCCTTACAAAGTGTTAGGTAAGTTATTTTTGATTGCGTGGACCCTGAGGTCCACGCAGTAAATATATAAGCCAGGTTAAACCGGATGCAATGGGCAAACGACAGGCTACGCATGCGCGAGAATGCTAGAGATTTCGCCCATTAGGCCACTTGCCCGTAGAATAATTCGCCCTATCCGAATTAGAATATGCCATTCATTGGCAAATCGCTCTTTTAAATCCGCATATCGTATTTATATATTCATTGGCGGTTCCGAATTTTTCTTTTATACATATACGTTTATATAAAACCTAAACATTGATTCTATGGCACAAGCATTTTAAAAAGTTGGAAGAACTTGCAGTATATAGATACATGTAGCTTAACAACTTGAATAAAAAACGTCATTCAATGACTAGTTCTGCCTTTTAAAAGTTTTCAACGGCATTAATACTTAGTTTTGTTCATCAAGGCTCACAAAATAATTTGATATTCAATCCAAATACCGTTTGATAGAGGTCTGTAGCAACGGTTTTAAATGTGAGGGAGGGAGGGGGCTCCAAAAAAAAATCTGCGTACTAGAGAGCTGTGCTTTACATGTACCATCAGATCTATTTTTTCCATGATAGATTTCTTCCATATAAATCAAGAACAGGAGTCAAGTCCCAGCCATTATGGGTACATGTATCAAAATAGCCCGATTTTTTAAGGACAGATGTTACAAACAAACTTTTGTGAGAAATTTTGAAAATAACAACTTGGGTCATGTTTAATGAATAAAATTAACAACTTTCACTGTGTAGTTTTTATTTTCTTATCTAAAGTTGCAAAAAAAGGATTTGAAGTGTAAAATGTTTGTATAGAATAATAAGTATGGTTTCAGGAGGATAGAATTTTGAACGTCACAGAAGGTTTATAATTTTTTTGTATTGAAGTAATTTATTATTTGCATCATTTGCAATGAAATTAGGTCAAAAAATATATACCAATCCAGACATCCATTTTTTGTTTGAATCATCTCTCCTTAAACTGACAAAACATAAAGGCTAATTTTTGGAGATTTTGCTTTGAGACTATAATCAGTCATAAGTAGGCAGATCATTGCAGAAAATGTGAACAAACCTATACATGAATATTCACTCCACCTAGAAATTTTCTTAAAATAGAATTTCGGTTAGAAACACATGCATGTGGCCCATGTATTGCAGTCCTTTTTTAAAGGACAGCAGCTTGTTTATTTAATTTCTGAATTTAAATAAACGAGTTACAATGTTGACCTACTTTCGTCGCGAGTGTAAACACGCCGCCATTTTGTACGAATATATATTGCATCAGTCTGTACGTTTTAGTTTCGTTTTAGTTTCGAAAACATGTTTGAACAAAGAAGTTGAAAATCATGTAAATATATAAAATATTTTGGGAGTCAAAGAAAATAAGTGATTTAAATAACTATGGCCAAAAAAAAAACAGTTAAAGTCTACAACTATCTACTATAAAAATGAACTTACATTTATAAATCTCTTTAGTCATGTAATGTTTTTTCGGGCATCCATAAGAAAATCTTGTGCAATTCTCAGCATTCATGTTACCAGTGTTGTGAAGGTATGCACAATGCTCGGCTTAAGAAGAGAATTTATGACAACAAAACAATTCAAACGTACATGCAAGTAGTTCTCCATAAAATATTTATCGGGGAAAAGGTTTCAATATAGCATTTACCAAGTGTTTTCAATATATTTGGTACTTAAAGCTAATTAGCATGACATGTAAATGGATTTAAGCCATTTTTGGTAATATTATATTAGCACCGGTACATGTATAACGACGAAAAGTGACCCCCGTAGAATATTGACCAGGGGGTCATTTTTCTAAGTAGAAAAATGACCCAGGGTCAATATTCTACAACAAGTAGGGTCATTTTTCGACCGTAGAAAACATTCCAGACCAGTAATTCTACGACTACACACACGTTGAGAAATGAATAGAAATACTTACTTTTTTATCCAATAAAACCTTATATCTATGTCTCCTGATAATTTTTTTTATTCTTTCAAATGTAAGGAGGGGCATTTATTATGTACTTTACTCTTTTACAACATATATATTTGATTGCATATCTATGGCAGGCCAAATTTACAAATATATTTAATGAACTAAACATAGTTTCACAGTCCATAAACTAGCTAAGTTTACGGACTGTAAACTATATAGTTAACAATTAATATATATATATTACATATGTAAACCATAGGTAGAAAATCTATGTTTCTGAACCGTGAACTATACTTATTACTAAAAACAATGATTTGCGACTGCAAAACATAGATTATTTGATAAATATATATGGCGCGCCAAATTCACAAAAATGTGCTACCTAGTTTTACAGTTAATAAACTAGGTTTATCGACTGTAAACTATAGTTTACAAACGGTAAATGTTAGTTAACAAACTGTAAACTATAGTTTACAAACCGTAAACTATAGTTAACAATTCGTTAACTATAGTTTTCATTTCTGAATTATATTTAACGGTCGTTAATTATAGTTTACGAATGCTAAACTAAGTATATCTGTCTGTAATAAAACGTTAATAAAAGTTTACAAATTGTGAAAGTGTATTTATCAAATATATCATCTGTTTTGCAATCGCAAATGATTGTTTTCAGTGTTAAGTATAGTTTACGGTTCTGAAACATAGATTATCGCGTTAACTATGGTTTACATATGTAAATTTTAGATTAACGTTGTTAACTACAGTTTACAGTCCGTAAACTATAGTTTACAACCGAAAAACCTAGTTTATCGACTATGTTTAACTCATTGTTGTAAATTTAGCGTGCCATAAATATAGTTTCAAAATTTGTGAAACTATGATTAACAACTCTTAACTATAGTTCACAATTGTAAATTATAGTTTACAGACGTGAATCTATGTTTATCAACACAATCTATTGTTAACGTTTTGTTAAACTTGGATTAGCATTCGTAAACTATAGTTAACAACCGCTAAATATAGTTCACAAATAAAACTATAGTTAACAAATTGGTAACTATAGTTCACGGCTTGTAAACGGTAGTTTACAGTCGATAAACATAGTTTATCAACCTTGAATATTGTATAGCTCATTTTTTGTGAATTTGGCGTGTCATACATATCTTAATAGTAACTTTATAATACTTTTTTTTATTTTAGTAACTTCATTATATTTTTTTAATTTGCTTGTAGAACCCCAATAAATATTTTTTCATTGAGGAGGATAAATTTATGATTATATTTTTGGGTGTTCTTTTATCAATCGAAGGTTTTATTCCGAAAATGGCATGATATGTTTCTAATAACCATAAACCACAAGAGGGTCCCGAAATTAGCACTTTTATAAATTAATCATCTGCGTTTATTTTTGAATATATAGTTTTGTGGTATCTCTCTATTATATAAACATAAGGAGAACAAATATCTTCAATTCTGTATGAAGTTCGAGGTCAGAGGTCAATACGTGACCTAATCACACGGTGCAATAATATCTACCGGTGCATAAATATAATATGACTTGCTCTACTTGCTTTTCATGTATAAAAATGAACAAAATATGCAAGTAGAATAATAATTATTTTATTTTCAACGTTAACAAGTATTTCACACAGTTTTTCGGCTATCGATTTAACCTGTGTACATGGAGAATGTACCGATAGAAACTAGCTTTTGTTTACAAGTTTTATGTCAATTTTTTTCAGCTGTACAGTCTCTAACGTTTATCCTTATTTTTTTGGGTAGACATTTAGTTAAATCTTCACGATAAACTGTAATTTTTTCATCAAATTCTACTCACGATAAATGTGTAAATCTGCAGGAAAATATCAAAGCATTTAAAGCATTGCAATCACGCCACGAACAGCTGACAAACACATCGCCCTGTCGTAGTTCAATGTAAGCTTTCGCTAGTGTCCCAGTGATTCGTTTATATCTGTGAAATTAACTTGAAGACCATTTTCGTGTATACTCACGCTTAGAAATATACAAGGAGAAACGTGCGTTAACGTGACGTCACAATAAGGCTACAGCGACGTTGGTAAAAATGCAACGATATAGGGTAGCGAGAAATTCGAATATTGAGAATATTTTATTTTTAGTTAATTTCAATCATGGAAAATGTAAATATAAGCAATGTTTTTAAGTTTAGTGTGAATTATTGGTGTAAAAAACTCTTAAAATCATGAAACGTAAATTCATGTAGAAAGCGGAAAACAAACTTTATGTGCCAATTTTTGGTATGACAAAACTTTGTTAATTAGTTAATCATTTGTTATGCTAAACCCCCATTTTGTAAAGGTTTTTTTGACACTATAGCAAACAACAAAAGACATTTTAAAGGTTTTGAGCAAACCCCTATTTGTTTCCCTGGTATCATAGGTCAGAGACAGTTTTATTTAGTACTTATTTTAATATTTTTTACAAACTAAACCATCCCTATTTTTATGAGAAATTTGGAACTTCATTTATAGAAAACTAATTATTCTTAAAAGATCAACTTTTCTATGCAAGCGTCCTTTTTCGCGCCAGTTTAAAAAAAGGATCCAAAACGTTAAACCTTTTAAAAGTAGAACTTTACTATGATTTTTGCAAATCATTTATCCAGGGTAACATCAAAGAGATTTACAATCATGGAAACTTCTTAATGGTTCTTTTACTGACATCAGCAGTGAGGTAGAAAATGACAATTTTAAAGATTAAATTGACAACTTTGGAAACTTACCGTAAAAAATGTAATAAACCAATATATGAGTGCGCGTATCTATGCTCTAATAGCATTAGAAATTTTAATAGATATTGTTTTCCTTTAATGGGAATAAAACGGTTGGTATTATTAATGTAAGGTATAGTATAGCTTTGTTATTTTATTTAAGGTTTAAGAAATGAACACATCATATCATAAGGCTGCTTGATATAAGGCGTATGCATTCGCCTAACAAGATATTCCTACCAAAAAAAAATTATTACATCAAAAAATGACAATGGGTCATTATTCTACGGGGTCATTTTTCTACAATGGACACGGAGAAAAACGTCCCTAAGGCCGTAATTTCTACAAAAAAGCGGGTCATTTTTCAACGTAGAATATTAACCAAAGGGTCAAATTCCTACGTAGAAAAACAATATTCTACGTAGGTTACTTTTCGTCGTTACACCGGCGTATATCGCTCGAATTTGTTAACCTGACTGCTTGATTGTCATGTATATCGGTGTTCGGGCTGGTTATCTTAAACATATCCTTTGTTTACATTTAATTGCAGTTGTGTGCATTTGTTTGTATACTGCAGGTTTGTTCCCGTTTTGCACACATTTGAATTACATGTAATTAAAAAATGTGTGAAAAACGGGAGTTTGGCCAGGTGAAATAATTACTTAATTGCTATAGTCTATACCATACAGCATACTTAGTATGTATGTGAAAGGTGAACTTATTGTGAAAAAATAAGAGAATGAATACAGTTTATTTATTTATTGAGTATAATTAATTTTTATTCTCTATTTTCTTTAATATTTTTTTTTATCTTTAATTCATTTAGAATTTTATTGAAAAGTAATCTTTTTTTTAAAAAAAATGGACTTAATAAATAATATTAAATAAAAATAAATAATTTATTCAACAAAATATTTTCCCATAAATACATAGAGAATTTTAATAAAATGCTTATAAAATTGTATTAAACCTCTTAAGAATTCATTAGGCTAAATCAGGTATTCACAGGTAAATCCAGGTAAATCCAAACCAAAAATCAGACTATAATTGTTATCAAAACATACTTCACACCTATTGTCTATACCTAATTAACAAATGTGTGCAAAACGGGAACACACCATACTGCAATGTCTTATGCAAATGTTAATTGTTAGTTTCTTTGGTATTCGAAAAAAAAACCTGAGCAATTAAGTAGCAACATCATTCGATTGAGAAGTATTTCAGTCAAATAACTCGTACCTAACTGCCAAGCAGGAAACCTTCCGCTTCTGAAACAGAACTGAACAAATTCTGTTTTGTTTTGGTTGGGAACACAGATATAATTATACTCCCCGTCAAACTGAGGACAAAGTTTGGAGGCGGCTTCCAAATATTCATCCCAGTTTCGCGGACAGCTGACAGCTTTTGTCTTATAGAACATGGACGACATCTGAAAAAATGTAATTTAATTATACAGTTAGAATACAATGTACCAATTGTTGATCATCTAAATTAACTGCAAACTCTGTTTTCTTTATAGTTTAGCATGTGTTGCAGTTTATCATCACTGTGTATTGTTTTGACAAAAAAACTAATCTGGTCTGATAAATGTATACGATGCTGTAATTTTTTTCTTTTAAAATGAACTTAGCGGTTTGATAAATTTGAAGTTAAAAATTTGGTAGGAATAACCTTTTAAATAACATAATCATCATCTGATATAGAACCAGTGAAGTAATTTCTATGATGTCATTCAACGATAGCACAAGCTTTTTAGACAACAAACAATATAATATTGAAAGGAAATCGAAAACCGTGAAAACAAAATTAGGATAAAAACATGCAAATTTTTCTGAATACCTGAAAATTTAACCTAAATTATAAAAATTATTTGTTTATCAATTCTTAATTAGAAAATGCTTAACTGAATTTTTATTCAGCTTTTCCTAAATATACGTTGGGAATTTGATAATGTTTCCTATATAACACGATCAACTTTTGAATAATATAACTCGATCAGCTTTAAAAAAGTAGTATGGGTAAATACCCATTACTTTGTGAATTTGATACATCATTGTGACTGTTTTCAATTGGAGGCTTTTCATGAAGATTTAAAGAAATATTTTTTTTAAAAAAGCCATGCCCTAGTATTTGATGATCTATCGTTAAGAAAAAGTGACGATTTGATTCCAATATAAAATATTTTTGAGTCATATAATGATTATAAGTAAAAGCATTTTACCATCGAACAATGGAAAACGAAACTAAAGAAATTATAAATATATGATATATGACAAATATAGTACTATAAAACGGTTAATTAAATATTCAGTCTTGATGATTTTTCCATACCTTCCTCAGAATACACGATAATTATCTCATAAGCTGGTAATATCTTGGCTTGAAATGATATTGCGCAAATACGTTATATGGCGGAAATGAAGGTAAAGTATTTTTAAATAACAGAATGGAAAAAATACACAAACGCGTCTACCCGTGGGTCACGATTGAAATCGATAAACGATTGACAAGCATTAACACCCCTACTTTTGTAATTGTGATTTAAATTCAAGACACGTGGTTTAGGTTTACCTATTCAAAGGTTATAGGATAGAACCGGTTTATAAATAAAATTGGCAGTAAATAGGAAATTGCTATAGTCCGTTTAATTCTTTTGAAAACTTGTTCTGTGAAAAATGTGATTCCAGACCTTTCTGAAAAATTTTCATGATTTTCAACAGAAAAGGGTGGCTAAAGGAGGGGGGGGGGTGTTAAATAAAAATATATCTTTTCATAGTTTACGGCAAAAATTAGAGCTCACTAGCGACAGATACGCTGGTAAAAAAGATGTGTAATATCATCTACACTGACAAACCTTTGTTTGCCTTATATGGATTTTTTATTAATGCGCACAGAGGATCTAACCACGAGCAACTGACCATTTGTTAATTGAATACGTTTATGCCAAATGCATGTTTACATGTCACTTCGAACACGTGGTTCAGGTCAATCTATGAATATGTCCATGGAGTGCAAAATAAAAAAAAACCCATGATGCTCTTCTCATTCAGCTGATTAGTCAGTTAAAGTCGCATTGGTGCCTCATTTGCTAATCTGACGCCAAAAAATATAGTCCCGGTTCCCATGCAAAAGCATTTGTCAAAAAAGAAATTTTAATTCATAATAGCAGAAAATTGTATCATAGAAAATACTTATAATTTAAATTTGAATGAATTCAAGAGAGATCAATTGAAGTACATTTCTACAGAGTCATATTTTAAGGTGGTGAAAACTAAAACGCAACATAACTTTTCTGGAAAAAGAGTACCAAAGACCCAGATTTTTATATCATTTCCTGGTTGAACAAGATGAAGCTGAGTAATAAATGGGTAGGCTTTAGCTGATTGGCTGAATTCAGGTATGTAAATATTTTCATTTTAAAGTAAACATATTAATGTTTGAAATAAATGATGGAATGTGGGAATATTACAGAAAATATAGAAATACCAGGAGAGAATGTAGGAGGGGGGATTGATATTTTTGGCAGGGTGTCATTTACTGCCGATTGCTGTAAGTTCTAAATAACTGCAAATTTGGTACGGTATATTTTTTTTTCCGTGTTTTTAATAAGTGCTTAGAACGAACTTTCAAATGATATCAAAGGTTTGTTTGAACGGGATATAGTAAATTACTGGGAGGGCACAAGGTTTGTATAGAGTTCTATGGGAAGTTAATTGGTACTCTTTTCCCTATATTCTGTTTACCATGTTTCCACGTGCCAGTCACTTCCTTGCCACATTTCCGTGAATAATTTACCCTATCTTGCTGTAGTCTCGCGAACTCTCGCCAGAGCCACTGTCAGAGCTATTCGGAACTCATCGGGTTTTATAATTTGTAGAACACCAAAAAAAAAAAAAGGTTTCGAACACATTAGTAGGGGTGATTAAATCTCATCATATATATCTAAACTGTAACATCGTAAATATACCTTAAAATTAAATAAACAAGTTGTTGTTCTTTAAAAGGACTGCAATACGTGGACCATATGCAAATCGAATTTCAGTAAGAGAATTTTAGGTTTAGTGAATATTCATGTAGATTCATTCACAATTCCACAGTGACCTGCCTTCTTTGACTGGTAGTTCTTATAAAGCAAAATTGTTCAATTTTAGTTATGATTTTTCAGTAGTTTTGTCATTTTAAAAAATCGAGCTGTTTTAATACATGTAACTCAGAACGGCTGGGACTTGACATCTGTTCTGGATTTATAAAGAAAAAATCTTTCATTGAAATATAAATATGATGGTACACGTGTAGCCAGCTCTGTAGTTCGCATGATTTTTTTTTTACCCTCCCCTTTTCCCCCCGATGGGAAACCTTTGCTACAAATCTTTATCAAGCTGTACTTGGATTGCTGTATTTCAAATTATTTTGTGATTCTTGATGCTCAAAACAAATGCCTGTGAAGACTTGTTCTATCTTTTAAAAGCTTGTCGTTGAATAAAGTTTTTAATTCAAGTTGATAAGTTTTCTATGTACTGCAAGTCCTGCCTACTTTTTAATATGCTTGTGCTATAGAATCAATGTTAAGTTTACTTTGTACACTGTATATACAAGTCTATATATAAGAGAGAAATGGGATCCGCCAATGGTTATATAAATACGATATAGAGATTTAAGAGCGGGATTTGCTATTGTATGGCAGATTCTAATTCGAATAGGGCGAACTATTCTACGGGCAAGTTGCCTCTTTATTATTCTCGCGCATGCGCAGCGTGATATTTGCCCATGGCATCCGGATTATCTCGCTTATTTATTTTCTGCGTGGAACTCAGGGTCAACGCAATTAATGCATTATTTTCTAGGATTAGGAATATTTTGCTAGGGTATACATTCGCACATTAGGTTAAGAGATAGCTCACAGTTATCTGCATGTTTGTAACAGCACAGTCTCTTACTAGAAATTCTGTTCCATTCTAATTGCACTGCATATAACAAACCCTTAACAACCATTTAAGAGAGATGTGAGAAAGTTCAGATTATCTCAGGAGTGGTAAGTTGAGTTTGTTTTGTCATATTTGGTGGTTATCATTGTGTAGTAGTCAGACACAAACAAGTTCGGGAAAATACTGAATATTATATTGCCCAACAGTCCTGTCCGTTTAATATACAGGGGTTATTTTATTAGATATTTGACTTAGACAGTCCAATCCATTTAGTTTACAGGGGTTATTTAATTAGAGTACAGAAAAGAGATCTCAGAGGTTTCCATTTTACATAATTACTTATTTCTTTTTGAAAGAATTTATTGTGTTTTTCTGTTGAACATATCAAATGTCACTTAGTTTTATTTTTGTTTCAGTTTGTGTGAGTATGTGAGAAATTTTGTTTTCAAATGTTTACATGTTCATTGACACCGAGCTTGAGTTATAGAATTCTATCTGATACTCGTACTCGCGACGTACGGTTGTTCCTGGTTTTTTTCTGTGTTTTGTTTTTGTCTTCTGCAAGTGGAAGTAAGTATGTCAAAGAAAGAAAATCAAGACACTCAGGTGGTGAGGAGTTAGGTTCAGAAGATGCTATGATAAAAAAAATTGGTTGCAAGTGGTAAGTATGATACACTGCCAAAGATAAGCACGCCCAAAGGTGTTTCAGGAACATTTCCTAAAACATATTCTGTTGGAAGAGGTAGAGCTAAACTGTCAGATACTTTCAGTTTGAATCAGACAAAAGATGATCAGGTAGTAGGATACAGTATGGGACATTCTCAGATTATTTCAACTGAAGTAATTCCCAAGATTCCACAATTCTCATGTGATGAACCACCCAGAAAGGAGATGTAAGTTATTCAGAATGGAGATTTGAGATCAGATGTCTACAGTAATCCAGAGTTAGGTTCTAGTCATTTGTTACAAGCAATGCGTAGATCTCTTAGAGGCACAGCTAGGAAGATGTTGATACCTCTCGGTGAGAAAGCAACTACTGGTGAGATTTTAGACAAACTTGATGCATTGTTTTCAGATATTTCACAAATGGAATGATAATGCAGGAGTTTTTCAATTCTTTTCAGTTACCAAATGAAATGTCACATCTTTTGGTTGTAGAATTGAGTCACTTTTACAAACAGCTATTGACAACAATCATTTGCGCAAGGATGCTAAAAATGATCTCTTACGTCACAAATTTTGGACTTCTTTACGTTGTGAAAAACTTAAGTCCCAAACTAGACATAAGTAGGATACTATTCAGAGCTATGATCAGTTGCTCACTGATAAGAGAGATAAGACAGGTAGAAAAGGGAATTAGCATCAGCAGTGGAGGTAAATCAGGTGAGGTTAGTACAAGTGTACCTAGAGATAAGAAAGTTCACAGCTATGTGATTACAAATGATACAGATGAGACAGATAAAAGCTTGTCAGCACTTGAAAGAGAGCTGGATGCTATGGTGAGTGAAATAGAAACCAAGATGGATGACAAATTTAACAAGATTTTAGAGAGACTTGAAATTCACTCCGCTGTAGGTTGAAATTTCAGAGGAAATTATGGCACAGGTAGAGGTTACAGAGGTAACGGTAGACACTTCATAAACAACAGAGGACAACAGAGATATTCAGATAATAAATTTACAAGACAGAATGAGTCAAAAGATTAACCACCTTTGCTGATGGCCAATCAAAGGTTGGTGAATCTAATGGCCAACAAAGTTGTCAGTTAGTGGGTGAAAGTAACAAAAGTGTTGTCATGATTCAAGATCAGGCAATGTTAGTAATTATAGACAGTGAGTCTATGGTCAGTACCATTTCTCTGTCAGGTTACAAATCTCTTATTGACAAACCTGAGTTACGAGATATTAATTCTCTTTAAGTGTCTGTAGCTGATGGTTCTGCGTTACCATATATCTCGGCAATATAGAATGTTGTGTGAACATTCCTTTACTGTGTGAACAAGAGCTCTATGTACCTATTCTAGTCGTTCCAGACAATGAGTTCAATACACAATGTCCTGTCATACTGGGAACACATGTGATAAGATTTTACAAAGATTCTGTTTCAGATGTTGAAGATGTTCCTCAAGAAGTTAGCAGTCAACAGCATGGGAGGATCTTACTGCGTGCGTTCAATGAGTAAAAAGTCGATTGTGGTTGAGCCATACCAATCCTATGTAGTTCAAGGTCTGGTTAGAGGAGTTCAGGGTGAGAATACACAGTATTTTACTGAATGCTTTGACAATGAGTCAAACTACATTGTTTGTCCAAAAGTGTTGAACTAGATACTAAGTCAAACAGCAGTAGAATTCAAGTGAAAATCTTCAATATTACTGCAAAGTCTATTACCATAAGACCGAAGTCTGATGTGTGTCAGATTAGTCAAGTTAAGATAGTGGACAACTTAGTATCTCAGAAGTTTTCTAATAGCACTGTACATAGTGAACACAATTTGTCCAATTTACCAGATGTACATATTGACAAGACA